CTATTGACTTTTGATTTAGTTTTGACATATAACTTTTAATTTTAGTTTTGACTTTCACCTCTTCAAAATAGTTTTGGTGACCAACACTACTATTGACCAAATTAGATTAATATCTCATGCATGTACATTGTGAAAATTTTTTTCGATACACATATCTTCCAGACTTTTGAAAATGTGAAAACCATTTAAAAGGGCAGTATTATTTATTAAGCATAGTGGAAGTTTGTTGTTACACGAAAGTTTATACATACCCATTGCTCTTGAAACTTCACCAGCATATAATTGTTACCTATCTAAATTGGAGATGTAAAGATACAACAAGTGAAAAAGTTGGAATTGTAATGTTATAATTATATATATATATATATAATTATTATTATTTATAAATTATTATTATTTAAATTATTAATTTTGTTTTTGTTATTAAATGAAAAATAATTCTTTTGCTTTTTTAAATTCATTCCCCCTACCTACCTACCTATGTATTTAAATCTTTAATCTTTCTTTAAATCATTGTTTTTGAACTTAAACTCCACCTTTTGTCATAATAAATATTTCTAAACAATTGGCAGTGTATATATCTCCTTCTACAGCTGATGTAAATGCATATTTTGTGATAATAAACACTTTATCAAGTTATAATAACATTTTTCAACATTCAGTTGATTATTAAATTCAACCTGAATTAGATGCACATGTAAAATACAATTAATAATTATGATAAGATTTTAATAACATATGGTTAACACAATAATAGTAATAGTAATAATGTATCACCAGCGTAAAAATTTTTTACTTGATTATCTAGAAAAGGTTGAACCAATGTTGCTGTTAATTCTCCGGTACAACAAATCAATGGTTCATATGAACCAACTGGATCAAAACTATAAGCAACTCCTTTTCCTATATGTCAAATTAACATGGATTGATTGATATATGCAGTTAATGAAAATAATATTCAACATTCACCATTTCATCAAGTCTAGTTAAATATATTGAAAATATAATACAGAAAAAATCACTTCATATATAATGTAATTGAAAGCATTTGAGCTGAAGCTGGTGTTGTCATCTCTTTATCATGTGCATGTTTGTACCACTTGGATATTAGATGTCAAACTTGAAACCGAAACATCAGGAGCTAAAAACGAGGTTGGGACAGAAAGTTATACGAATAAAATCTCATCTTATTTTTATCTTTCTGAACCGTTACTAATTTATTTTGTATTTCCGGACCGTTAGGAACTCCTATTTCGTCTTGGTAACTAGTTTTTTCTTTAAGCGAAGTGAAAAAATTGTCAAATTCTACCAAAAACTTCTCAATTTTGGTCTTTTCCGCAAAAATTTAATAATTTACTTAAATTTAAATTTGAATATAAATTAATCCAATTGATGAACTTCTATCATTTTTAACCAATGCAATACCATCTGTTCCAAATCCATTAGAAGCAATCAATTAATGCATCAATAAAGCGGATATAAAGCAACACATCTACTTACAATTTAAAAGTTTTAAGAGCATATCTTGAATTAATCAAGTGTCATGAACTTTAATGAGTATTAGATGCTAATTTACAAAAGTCTTTACCTGCATCGACGACCGAGTTCTCTTTCCCAAAACGAACAGTCAGCAGCGCCGCCTGCCATAGTTCCCAAAAGATATGGGTTTATTTCAATAACTTTTTTCACAGTTGCTGACGCTAATATTTGAAAAATAATAATTATAATTATAAATATATAAATAATATATAATTATCATTATATTAGTAATTACAAATTATGAAAATATTATTTTGATTCTATTATAATTACCAATGTATTCTCCAGATGAAGCTCTAGAATCTACGGCAACAACAATTCCTGAATTGAATTTAAAAGCAAGAGTCGTTGTACCATGATCTAACTTTATACGACATTCTTCTTTGGAATCCTTGTCAGTATGTGCTTTTAAGAATTCAACTGGCTACGTATTTATATATTTGTAAATCACAAAGCAATACCAAACTCAATCAATTAGTTTCTTTATAAAAGAACTCTTACATTATGGCAAGCTGGAAATTCGAAATTTGGACTGGCAAATTCATTTGCATCATCAAATCCGCGTCCTCCATAACCAAGAAATTCATTAAATACATTTCTATCGATTGAGGAAAAGGTAGTTTTTCTAAAATTATTAACAAAAGTATCCATTGTTTAATTTTAAATTTTTTTTTTGATCTAATAAATTTGACATTTGGTTAC